ATTTTCTGGTAAGATATCTGTACTTTTACTTGAGTATGGCTTTCAGGTACTTTATACACCACTGGTTACAAGTTCTTCATGGAATCATCAATGCAAGAAGTCTTCAAACTCGGTCCTGCAGAGTTTAGCTCCAACCCTAATTAAACACAGCTGAACCAGCTAATTACGGTCTTATAGGTGCATCTCAATAAATTAGAATGTCGTGGAAAAGTTCCTTTATTTCAGTAATTCAACTCAAATTGTGAAACTCGTGTATTAAATAAATTCAATGCACGCAGACTGAAGTAGTTTAAGTCTTTGGTTCTTTTAATTGTGATGATTTTGGTTCACATTTAACAAAAACCCACCAATTCACTATCTCAACTAATTAGAATATGGTGACATGCCAATCAGCTAATCAACTCAAAACACCTGCAACGGTTTCCTGAGCCTTCAAAATGGTCTCTCAGTTTGGTTCACTAGGCTACACAATCATGGGGAAGACTGCTGATCTGACAGTTGTCCAGAAGACAATCATTGACACCCTTCACAAGGAGGGTAAGCCACAAACATTCATTGCCAAAGAAGCTGGCTGTTCACAGAGTGCTGTATCCAAGCATGTTAACAGAAAGTTGAGTGGAAGGAAAAAGTGTGGAAGAAAAAGATGCACAACCAACCGAGAGAACTGCAGCCTTATGAGGATTGTCAAGCAAAATCGATTCAAGAATTTGAGTGAACTTCACAAGGAATGGACTGAGGCTGGGGTCAAGGCATCAAGAGCCACCACACACAGACGTGTCAAGGAATTTGGCTACAGTTGTCGTATTCCTCTTGTTAAGCCACTCCTGAACCACAGACAACGTCAGAGGCGTCTTACCTGGGCTAAGGAGAAGAAGAACTGGACTGTTGCCCAGTGGTCCAAAGTCCTCTTTTCAGATGAGAGCAAGTTTTGTATTTCATTTGGAAACCAAGGTCCTAGAGTCTGGAGGAAGGGTGGATAAGCTCATAGCCCAAGTTGCTTGAAGTCCAGTGTTAAGTTTCCACAGTCTGTGATGATTTGGGGTGCAATGTCATCTGCTGGTGTTGGTCCATTGTGTTTTTTGAAAACCAACGTCACTGCACCCGTTTACCAATAAATTTTGGAGCACTTCATGCTTCCTTCTGCTGACCAGCTTTTTGAAGATGCTGATTTCATTTTCCAGCAGGGTTTGGCACCTGCCCACACTGCCAAATGCACCAAAAGTTGGTTAAATGACCATGGTGTTGGTGTGCTTTACTGGCCAGCAAACTCACCAGACCTGAACCCCATAGAGAATCTATGGGGTATTGTCAAGAGGAAAATGAGGAACAAGAGACCAAAAAATGCAGATGAGCTGAAGGCCACTGTCAAAGAAACCTGGGCTTCCATACCACCTCAGTAGTGCCACAAACTGATCACCTCCATGCCACGCCGAATTGGGGCAGTAATTAAAGCAAAAGGAGCTCCTACCAAGTATTGAGTACATGTACAGTAAATTAACATACTTTCCAGAAGGCCAACAATTCATTAAAAATGTTTTTTTTTATTGGTCTTATGGAGTATTCTAATTTGTTGAGATAGTGAGTTGGTGGGTTTTTGTTAAATGTGAGCCAAAATCATCACAATTAAAAGAACCAAAGACTTAAACTACTTCAGTCTGTGTGCATTGAATTTATTTAATACACGAGTTTCACAATTTGAGTTGAATTACTGAAATAAATTAACTTTTCCACGACATTCTAATTTATTGAGATGCACCTGTATTATCACAATGACTGTAAACAGAAACACAAGCACAGACCTGTTCTTGTTGAACTGGATGGCAAAGTCAGTCATGTGCTGAAGGGCTTTATTAATGAAAGACATGTCCATGTACATGTGACCTTGACGCCGAGAGAAGGTTCCAGATATCTCCAGTCCTTTTGCTTTGACTGCTGGCAGCCATACCTTCACAAACCAAAGAAATGAGTGTTCACGGTACATTCTCTAATTTACAGTTTGTCTAATTAATAAAGTAAGGTTATGATCTTCTCTAAGAGGATAACTACAGTCATTCTAAATTGAAGGGCAGTTAAATAGAGGAGTCTGACATTCACCTACACTCACTCACCCAAACACTGCTGCATACAAGAACTGAGCTGGCATCCAAAAAGAAACAAAATCAGATTAAAAGAGACAAATTAACACATATATAAGTAGCATGAGGCACCCAGAGCACCAGGGGAATTGGAAGAACTCTACAAGGTAGTTTATAAAGTCTCCTAATAAGAACTAATTGTGCTCTGTCCTACTCTACTGACCTACTCTGGCTCTAATGGAGCTCTTATTAATGACGTTGCCCGAGACGTTGTTCTCCCGGGAGCCGTTCTGCACGCCTGTATTTATGTAGCACATGAAGTTAATGCTCATGCTGGAGAACGAGAACAGACTGAACTTTGCTTCTTGAAAGGCTCTTCATTATGAATGAAATGGCTGCTAGTGAGATTATGCCCTAGTAAATTCTGGGATGTGAGTTGCCCTGCTGTTGGATTGGATTTGGACAGGTTCTGGCTGTTTTGATTGGCTGGTTGTTTGAGAGGTGATATGAAAGATCAGAAACAGGTGAGGTGTTATGGTTTACAGTTTAACGCCGAGTAATACTCACAGTTTTAGATGCCACATATCCTCCTGTAGCAATGGACATTCCTGAGGACAACTCAAACAGGTCATTGAGGCCGCTGCTGAGAGCAGCAGGTGTAGGAGACGGCGCAAAGGTGTTGGGTACCGATGACGGGATGAAGTTTTGGCCCACCTGCGTGACACACACATAGAGTTCCTAAGACTTCTGAGTGTCAAAAGAGTTGAAATCACTCTAGCAAGTATTTGCGTAATCTTTCAAACAACAGCAACAGGATTGCTTCATGTAGGCGATACCAGTTGTGCAGTTGTGTTAGGGAAAACCACACTGCAAGTCAAAAGTTTGGAATAATTCAGATTTTGCAGTGTTTTTAAAAGAAGTCTCCTGTGCTCACCAAGTCTGAATTTATTTGATATGATATGGTGAAATAAAGTAATATTTTAATTAACCTAAAGGAACTGTTTTCTATTTTAATATATTTTAAAAAGTAATTTATTCCTGTAATGTCAAAGCTGAAAAGCAGCCATTACTCCAGTCTTCATTGTCATATGATTCTTTAGAAAATATTCTAATATGCTGATTTGGTGCTCCAGTTATTATCAAATATCACTGGTGCTCATTTATTAATAAATGAAATAATAATTGATAATTGAAGGATCATGTGACACTGAAGACTGGAGTAATGGCTGCAAAAATTTCTGCTCTATCATCACAGAAATAAATAGGACATTTTAAAATATATTTAATTATAATTATATTTCACAATATTCATATTTTATTAATAAATCAAATAAATGCAGCCTTGATGAGCATAAGCGAGTTCTTTCAAAAAACATTTGAAAAATCAGAATTATTCCAAACTTTTGACCAGCAGTCTAAATAAGAGCAGTCCAAGGAAAAACAAGGCATTTAGGTACCCAAAAAAAACAAAAACCCACCAATACTTTAAAGACAAATGACGAAGCAGGTTATGTTAAACAGAAGTCTTTAGAGAAGTTCATCATATCAAGAACTTATCACCTCAAAGCAGGATGGATTTTTGTGCATGCAAAAGAAAGAAACAAAGCAGAACACACAGCTAGGTGCCTACTCTACACAGGCTATTAAGAATCATATAAATAGCACACAACATGCTGAGTGCAGACAGACGGATACGAGCGGAGAGAGGAGCTCACTTACTGCAGGACTGCCCCCAACACCTCCTCCCAGGTCTCCCCCGAGCTATAACAGAACAGAAGACCCATTTCCAGGCCAACAAACAACATGAGAGAGACAGAGAGGCACGTCAAGGATCCACTAATAACAGAGTTTTCCTGTTTACAAAAGACATCACGTCACAAACAACTTTTAAAGCCTGCTATTTCAAACTTTGTTTTTGCCATGGCTAAAATCAACCAGAAAATGTCATCTTTGAGACACCCGCAGCCATTAATTCAGTTGTTGACCAAGACTGAGATGAGTGAAGCTGATGACAGAGCAGGAAGAAAGAGTTGAGCAGCGCTCCGGTGTTCCTTTCATAGGCTGAAAGCAACAGTTCAGCTTGAGTGTTAGCAAAAGTTGCGGAAAAAACTGATTTGTGAGTGAAGTTACTGCACTGAAATACTGAAAGAAAAAAAAACAACAACAAAAACAAATCTACTAGACATTCTGAACAATATGACAGAAAAATGTAACCATGTCCATAACCTGAGAGAAATATTGCTATAAGACCTATTTACCATAATACAAACAAAAATAAGATAAATATTATAAAAGCAAGGCAAGACTATTTTATCCATTGACATTAATTGGACTGTGTAAATGTTTTATATAACAGGCGGTTGGAGAGGTTGAAAAATGAGAGTTTTGGCGATATCAGCAATGAAGGAAACATGTTTCAGTATACCAAAGTATTCAATTTTGATGAAAGACAAACATTTCTTTTTGTTCGGAATAAAGTTCACTGATGCATCATGCACAATAATACTGTAAATGTGCATTTAGAAAGTAAACCGGGTCAATTCTGATTTTATGATGGCTAAAGCAATGTAAATTATTTCTTAGTCCATATTCCTCTTACTGACCTTCAGCTGTACAGTCACCTTGATTTTCTCACTGAGAAAATGAGCGAGATTAAACAACCTTGCGGCTTCACACTCAGCAGGACACAAATCACAAGCTGAGCCATGAAGTGCAACAAGCAACGTTTAGGGTACGAGAGAAATGGATGGTTATGTCAAATGCAAATGTTCTGAACCAAATCTCAATGGAGAAAAAAAAAAACATTTGATACTTTCGGAGTCATAATGTGACTCAGATTAGACATAGATTTAGAGACCTGCTAAATGTCAATGTACATCTGATATGAGCTAAAGAGGCCGTTGAGACCATGAGTTTAAAAATGCATCCCTTCAGGTGCTGAGTCAGCAGTGTTCGTCTCTTTGAAACACTCACGACCTTGAGCAGTCAGATGGCTCTGCAGACTGTTCAGTGTTTAACATTCCTCGGCTCTGAACACTGTCTCCTTGTTAAGGATGACGAACACATTGGCATTTTATTGGAATGACTCATTTAGTCAGCAGAAGTATATTCACTGAACTGAATACAAAGCTTTGTGCCAGAGTTAAGCTGCGAGTTGCGACCAGGTTTAACAATTGGGTGGAAAGGGTAAAAATTGCCAATTTGTTTGACAATCCATTCTAAATCTTGTATACTCCACTCCATTTTGAGTCTTGGATTTTTTTTGGATTTCATGTCCATTTAGAGAATTTTCTTGGGTCAAAATGTCAATACATTCAGCATCAGGAATTAGTGGCGATTTAGTCAGCAGAAGTATATTCACTGAACTGAATACAAAGCTTTGTGCCAGAGTTAAGCTGCGAGTTGCCAGGTTTAACAATTGGGTGGAAAGGGTAAAAATTGCCAATTTGTTTGACAATCCATTCTAAATCTTGTATACTCCACTCCATTTTGAGTCTTGGATTTTTTTTGGGATTTCATGTCCATTTAGAGAATTTTCTTGGGTCAAAATGTCAATACATTCAGCATCAGGAATTAGTGGCAGAATTATTAAACCAGAACAAAATATACCAAATATGTTTCCGTCATGCTTTTATCTTTGATATATGTATGTTCATATGTGCTTATTTCATTTTTGATAGATAATTTGTTTTATTTGTTTGTGTGTGTGTGTGTGTGTGTGCGTGTGTTCTAACAAAAACATGCATATAGTACAAAAGGGTCTCAATTAGGCATGTGCAAAACTACATTTTTAAAAAAAATAATCAATCATGGGTTGCCTGAGTGACTAGCTGTGTGACTGGCCTCAAAGTAGCCCTGAATAATTAGGTTTCTCAGGCTCATCTAACATTTCTGTTAAGGGCTGTTTACAAAAAAATTTATTCTTAGAAGGAACATAAAACATATGAGCAGAACACATCTCTTAACAGGTTTTACCAGTTTTGTCAACGCTAACTTCAAACTGTAGCAGGAAACGCATAAATATGATGGCCAAGGACATTGTCTGAATGGCTGTACTGCCGTTGCTTTATGGGGGATGAATTTAAGGACGCAACCTCTCCTGTACACTGCAGATCTACGGTACAGTGCAACTTGTCAAACAGTGAAAACACAGCATACCAATTAAAGCACAACTGCTAAACAGAATAAATAAATAAATAAATAAATAAATGAATGAAAAATTAAATAAAACACTACTATTTAAAAGTTTGGGGTCAGTAAATTTTTTGAAAGAAATTAATACTTTTATTCAATAACAATGCTATTACATTTGAATTACATTGATCAAAAGTGACAGTAAAAGTGACGTGTACACTCTTTTAAATAAATTTGATTTCAAATAAATGCGGTTCATTTGAACTTCTATTTAAAGTAAATGGTCTCCACAAAAAATATTAAGCAGCACAACTGTTTTCAAAATTAATAATATTAAGAAATGTTTTTTCAGCACCTAATCAACATATTAGAATGATTTCTGAATGATCATGTGACATTGAAAACTGGAGTAATTTCCATCATAGGAATAAATTACAATCAAAAATATTAAAATAGAAAACTTTAAAATGGTTACTTTCACAATATTTTTAGTGTTTTACTTTTATGTTTTATCAAATAAATGCAGAATTGGTGAGCATAAGAGACTTCTTTCAAAAACATTACCAACCCCAAACTCTCTGCACTGTATGTATATGAGAATAAATCTAAAGTGACTAGTCTGTCAGTAAACCATTGTGACCCATCTTACTGTAAGTTCTTATCTCATCTTGCCTGGGGCACAAGAACCAGCACCTTGACTTTTCCCACCACCAAATACTGATTTAACTGCTGGCTGTAGCACATCTCAAGTCTCACAACCTGTGTTTTGTCATTTGGCAGAGGAGTAGTTCATCAGGATTATCACAGAGCAGGGAAACTCAATTAGGAGTATACCACTAGTCTAGAGACGGGATCGCAACACCTTTCCTTACACCCTGTTCAACACGGCTTGAGCTAGAGCAGCATCTTCACACAGCACGTGGCATGTCTCTCTATCCTGGTTTATATAGGGCCTCCGTGCAAAGCTCTGACACAGTAACTCCTCCAATTTGGGAGAAGATTGCACTGAGGAGCAGCACCTGCGCTGCCCAGATATAAACGCTTCACATGTGCCATGCTGGAAATGCCTGCAAGATGCCTGCTTGACAAATCCAATTATACACAAGGAGGAGGAAATAGGCCTTTTGTGGCTCCAGGAAAAAAGAAATGGACAAATTGTTTCTGGATGTGAAGATCCTGGCATATACACACAATATTTCCAATAACATTCATTAAAGGGACAGATCCCCCAAACATTTCTGTCAGCATTTATTTACGCTCATGTCATTCCAGACAATACAATTTTCTTTAGTGGAGCACAAAAGAAGGTATTCTGTTAAACAACGGTAAGATGTTCAATTTTGAAAGCTCTCAATTCAAAGCCTGACGAAGACCGCTTGTGGCCGAAACATTGCAATCCATTATACTATAAAGCATTCTTTGGGAGCAAAAATAATGGTGTGCCAGTCTTTTTGCATTTTATTTTTAAAGCTCAACAGCCATCATTTAATGCCATTTTTTGAAGTTGTAAATAAATCAAAGATTATTGGAGTATGTCACACAAGAAAATACTATTTCAGTCTTACTACTTTAAAATTTCACATTTAATTCAATGTGTTAGTTGTCGTTTCTTGTAATTAAATGTGAAATTTACCAGCAATTTTTGAGTGCAAATTGTGTCAATTCCAAATGTTTTCAGTATATGGAAAAGAGCAGCTTAGACATTCAGTACAATATCTTCATTTGTGTTCCACAGAAGAAAGTGAAATATTTTAAGGTGATGTTGTACCATGTGTAATTACACAAATAAGTACATATTACATATACTTACTATTGGGTTAAGTTTAAGGTTAGTTACTTGAAATTATACATAATTTACTGTTATTATCATTGTAAGTACATGTAACGTAACTATGTCATCTTAAAATTAAGTGTTATTGCTAATATTAAAATAAGTGTAAATATTAAACTACAAACGTACAGAAGATTTTGTGAATATTTTGATGTCCTTTTAGAGAGCATGATTTGCACAGATCCTGACCAAAAATGTAAATCTTCTCTTTACTTCCCTCAGGAACTGTGTATGTGTGTGTTGAGTGGAAGATTTTATGTGGGTTGATGACTGCGTATAAAGTGGCAAGACTTTCAGCCCTGGGGTTCTGGTGCTGTGGTTGCAGTGAGTTTAGGAGAGCAGGGCTGATGGCTGGTATGATATAATACTTTTGAGCTCTCAAACAGAGTCAGAACACTTCATATACCACAGTCTCTCCACTTCAACACATGCCAGTCCTGCAGCTATGATCAATGCTCAAAATAATATTAAAGGTGTCAACATTTATAATTCAGCAGCATGATATTTTAAAAGGACAGGCACATCAGATTGAGACTTTTGGACCCACTGTATGTCTACATGCATCAAACTCTTAGCAAAACTTAGCAAAAGAGCAAAGAAAATCATTTCCATGATATGTACACCATAAACTGCATAGTCACGATCATCCTTCAGTTTGCTCCATTATTATTCAAGTTTGGATTTGCAGTACTGAGCAGCATTCAGCACTGTGTCAATAAATGATGAGCGCTTGATTGGAAGTCAGAGCGCTTACGCAATCACATTCCAGTTAAGAAGCGCTGACCTCGCTGCTGTTTCACCCTGCGCTTCTTCACTTTGCTGTTCACTGTCATCAGGCAGAAGCTTGAGAGATGTGGTGGCCATGGTAACGAGTGTGGTTATCTCTCAAATGTAAAATATCCTGCTGCAATCATCTCACGCTGAGTGGAGTGCCCTAAAACCTTTAAACCACACCTGCACCAGTGAACACGCTATCCAGGCTGAACACGAGCCTCAGAGAAACTAGTAAAAACACTGGTCACTCTTAAAAGAGCAACAACTGCATGGGCATACCTGAGGACATGATTGCGGCAAACGTTGCTGAATTACAAATTTCAGCTCACTTGTGAAGCAATATAATCACAAAACCTATTAAATATGTAATTATTAAAAATAAAATTGATTAAAACTTTAAAACATTTCCACTGTTTTGTTTAAACAAATTTGCACTCCCTTCATATTCACAATTAAGTAAGAATAGTTTCTACCAAAATACCATAGTTGCTGTAAAACAGGTGTTTCTACCGTAAAATCATAACAAATTGATATGAAACATTTAAACAGCATTTCTTTCATTGTAAAAAAAAATTTAAAAATAAAAATAAACATTGACAGAATTTATATTTCGTATAAATGTCTTGTATAAATATTTTGCATAAAAATCTAAACACTCCTTAAATAACTTATATAACATAAATTTACAAACTTAAAAAAAAAAAAACTGCCACTGAGATAAGAAAAAAAAATTGTATTCCTCGTTTCTAACGAGAAGTAGGGTAGAGTACAGTACAGTACAGTACAGTAAAGTACGATTTGGGACAGTACCCCCTGATACTTGATAGGCATGATGTATGCCGGAAAGTAGCGATCGACGTCATTCTCGCGCAAAGAAGAAAGCGCAACATTGCCTGTGTGTAAAAATATAAAATTCTAAAATCACTCTTAAAAGAGCAACAACTGCATGGGCATACCTGAGGACATGATTGCGGCAAACGTTGCTGAATTACAAATTTCAGCTCACTTGTGAAGCAATATAATCACAAAACCTATTAAATATGTAATTATTGAAAATAAAATTGATTAAAACTTTAAAACATTTCCACTGTTTTGTTTAAACAAATTTGCACTCCCTTCATATTCACAATTAAGTAAGAATAGTTTCTACCAAAATACCATAGTTGCTGTAAAACAGGTGTTTCTACTGTAAAATCATAACAAATTGATATGAAACATTTAAACAGCATTTCTTTCATTGTAAAAAAAAATTTAAAAATAAAAATAAACATTGACAGAATTTATATTTCGTATAAATGTCTTGTATAAATATTTTGCATAAAAATCTAAACACTCCTTAAATAACTTATATAACATAAATTTATAAACTTAAAAAAAAAAAAAACTGCCACTGAGATAAGAAAAAAAAATTGTATGCCTCGTTTCTAACGAGAAGTAGGGTAGAGTACAGTACAGTACAGTACAGTAAAGTACGATTTGGGACAGTACCCCCTGATACTTGATAGGCATGATGTATGCCGGAAAGTAGCGGTCGACGTCATTCTCGCGCAAAGAAGAAAGCGCAACATTGCCTGTGTGTAAAAATATAAAATTCTAAAATACAGTGTTATATTTTTTTGTGTTTAAGCCCTCTGATGTAAACAAGCCCAACACGCATGAGCAGCATGGTGGAACGAGTGAACAAAACTTAGCAAAAGAGCAAAGAAAATCATTTCCATGATATGTACACCATAAACTGCATAGTCACGATCATCCTTCAGTTTGCTGTCATCAGGCAGAAGCTTGAGAGATGTGGTGGCCATGGTAACGAGTGTGGTTATCTCTCAAATGTAAAATATCCTGCTGCAATCATCTCACGCTGAGTGGAGTGCCCTAAAACCTTTAAACCACACCTGCACCAGTGAACACGCTATCCAGGCTGAACACGAGCCTCAGAGAAACTAGTAAAAACACTGGTCACTCTTAAAAGAGCAACAACTGCATGGGCATACCTGAGGACATGATTGCGGCAAACGTTGCTGAATTACAAATTTCAGCTCACTTGTGAAGCAATATAATCACAAAACCTATTAAATATGTAATTATTAAAAATAAAATTGATTAAAACTTTAAAACATTTCCACTGTTTTGTTTAAACAAATTTGCACTCCCTTCATATTCACAATTAAGTAAGAATAGTTTCTACCAAAATACCATAGTTGCTGTAAAACAGGTGTTTCTACTGTAAAATCATAACAAATTGATATGAAACATTTAAACAGCATTTCTTTCATTGTAAAAAAAAATTTAAAAATAAAAATAAACATTGACAGAATTTATATTTCGTATAAATGTCTTGTATAAATATTTTGCATAAAAATCTAAACACTCCTTAAATAACTTATATAACATAAATTTAAAACTTAAAAAAAAAAAAAACTGCCACTGAGATAAGAAAAAAAAATTGTATGCCTCGTTTCTAACGAGAAGTAGGGTAGGGTAGAGTACAGTACAGTACAGTACAGTAAAGTACGATTTGGGACAGTACCCCCTGATACTTGATAGGCATGATGTATGCCGGAAAGTAGCGATCGACGTCATTCTCGCGCAAAGAAGAAAGCGCAACATTGCCTGTGTGTAAAAATATAAAATTCTAAAATACACTGTTATATTTTTTTTGTGTTTAAGCCCTCTGATGTAAACAAGCCCAACACGCATGAGCAGCATGGTGGAACGAGTGAAGGAGACGCTTCATTCCCCTTGTAGCACGCACAAGTGACGATTCTCTATCAACCAATCAATGATCTGCAGTGAGTCTAGTTCACCCATTAGGTACCAAACTACTGTGCTAGGTACCCCAAAAGAAGGGTCCCAAAAAAGTGCTACGGTTCACTATTTTGGTACCATTCACAACTTGTCAATGGAAACAGAAATAATTGCGTACCGTACTGAACCATACCGCTCGGTGGAAACAAGGCTTTATTATCAAAATTTTGCCAGATAAACATGGTTTTAAAAGCTATTTATATATTTGTACTGAAAAACAAAACAAAAATACTGAATATTAACCTGATTTTTGCATACTATAGCAACAATAACTGAGGTAACCATAGCTCTCCAGTGGAAACTATGGTTATCATTGTAAATAGTTAAAATAAGGGATGTTGGAGATTACACAAGACTGTAAAATTATAAGAGAAGAACACACACCAAACTGTCAAGACCACCTCCGAGGAGATCCACAGCACCTATCTGCATGGAAGACCCCTGGGGCACGTTGACGGGGGGACCGAGATCCAGATTAAGCAGGTCTCCCAGAAGGTCACCCTGAGATGGAATGACTTGGGGTTGATCGATAGATGCAGCCGGGCCGGCACTGACAGGACTCTCCCCGGTGTCGATACTACAAAAGAATGATGATACACAGTGAGATGGGTAACACGAAGTGAACAAAGGATTTTTCATTGTTCTAGTGGAGAGAGGACAACATAGTTTCTGTGTGGCACTACTTTCGATGAGTCCCCTGTTGTATTACTGGACTGAGATGGATTCAGACATCCTTTTTCGAAAAACTGAGAATCACACATAGCAATAACACAAATAACAGGGATGCCAGACCTTTACCATGACTTACCATGACTTGGGAGTTCTTTGTGATAAAGACTTTTTAAACCATTTTATAGAGCTCATACTCACAAAGAGCCATTTTTAGTCAATGAACATTTCAAGAGGTTTAGCCGTAATAGTACCTGCCGTGCTGGATGGGCAGATGTTTGCGGTGAATGCCGTGGCTTCCTTCCACAAAGGCATTGGGGGGTTTGTGGTAGACAGAGGCCAGCGAGCCGATGTGGCAGATGAGCTCGTCCAACAGGGTGGGCTCGATCAGGTCTGTTTCCTCTGAAATCAAAGGCTTCTCAGACAGCACAACCTCTTTAGCAGTCACAGGGTCAGTGGACAGCAGACGCCAGTAGATGTAGCCACGATCACGCAGGTCAGGGTTATCAGAGTCCTGAGGAGATGAAGAAAAAAAGAATAGTGTGAATGGAGAGGAAACGTGACACTGACAGCCAGACGCTGAGCTCAATTTGAGATTAGAATTTTATCCATCATCTGCATGTTAATGTAATATTTATGATGGTGTGGATGTGTTCTGATGCTGATGGACAACAATGCCCAGTGTTGTATACAATGAGCATAAGTATGCAATTGTCTTTCATTACAAATAGATTCAAATAAATAAATCTTTATCTGATATAAAGTGTGCCAGCATTTGTTACCTGTATTTTCAAAATGTGGGGTGACTAAAGACCAAACAAAGAAAAAACGGCTAATATCAAGTTATAGTGTAACACTACAGTTTATTATGCCCAAGCACATCTCCATCTCACCTGAGTGGCCAGACTGAGCACTTGCTGAACCAGCTCCTGAGTTTCTGAGGGCTTCTTGAGGAACAGCTTCACTATGGCTGTCAGCAGAGTCAACTGCACCTGAAAGCAACAAATGCAGCAGCTACTGAATCAGATCCCTGCTTTTAAACAAACTATATACCGCATAAACAAAAAACACCATAACGGAAAACAACTGACAAAAAACAAAACAAAAGCAAACAAAACAAACACCACCACCCAAACAAAACAAAACACACCTAATCAAACCAAACCAAAAACAAAATACAAAACAAAAAGAACAAAAACAAAATAGAAAACAAACTAAAAAATATATATATATCAAACCTGAGTGCTTTCATCATGAAAGCCCTCAAGGAAACTCTCCAGGAGCTCATCAGCGTTGTCGATACGCTCAGCATATTCACCCACAATCCAAATCATGGCAGCTCGAGCGTCTGGCTCATCCAAAGAGTCCAGGTTTTCACACAGAGTGGCAATTATGCTCTCATACCTGCGCAGACAACAGAGAGGTGTTTCAGCTGCCCATTAACTATACGTTCTTTCATTCTACATGGACTTTTTATTTTTCTTTAGATAGACAACGTAATATATACTCAATTCCAAAACATAGTGAGTTGCATACACAGCATTGCTTAATAATCCTAAAATACATCATTTTAGTCTAATTCTAAGGAAGCACAGAATGTATACTGTACAAAGCATGCAATCCCAGAATACACTGTGTCAAGCTCAGTGACAAAAATAAATCCAAAGTGGTGGAAGAGTATTAAAACGTTTCAATGAAATTAGTTGAGATGAGAGCTGTGGACTGACTTGTTGGGGTATTTGCGGAAGATGTCCCTGATGACCACAATGGCCTCTTGCACGACGTAATTGACCTTAGTCTGGATGAGGTCCAGCAGAGTGCTTACACAGCGCTCAGCAGATTGCTGTACTCACAGATAGAAAAAGAAAACTCAGTCACAGCTACACATTACAATGACAAAACTCATCCAGAACTACAGCACTTCAACCATGATGCACAATGAAAAAAGCAGTAAGGTTGCTTATAGAAGAGGAGAGATTTTCAAACATTTCTCTATGGAATGAGGTTACATACAAAAAGATATATAGGGCTGAATAATGAGGCAAGACATACCTCCACTTTGATAGCACAACGGCCGATGGCTCGAACGGCTTTCCGAACAAAGTCTACATCCACTTCAGTGGCATACTCTTTCAGTTCAGCCAATACCTATGGAAATCAACATAATTTTAAGTGGATTTCTATAGAAATCAATCGTACTTCTGAGATGAAACGCTGAATGACCTCCACAAGAGAAAGAACAGGGAATGGATACCTCGGTCTCTCACAAGGTTATAGCTCTGGGGAAAAGTTCGGGAAGAGTCTGATGTTAACATTTAACAAATGGACATGTTTATTGGGCTAATAGCTAAATGACTTCATATAAGTAAATGAAAAACAGCAAAGAGATGCATTAGAATGAAATGCAATGAAGTAATTTGTTGTCATATGCAGTGTAAGCACAGCTGTCGATTTACAAGAGGCAGCTTAGAGCTTGATGGGCTTAAGCATGTGTTTTTTTGCTAAACACAACGACAGACTGTCACTGAATAGAAAGTGTAAGGGACCATGTTCCTTTTAGGCACAATTCAGAGCAACGCAAATAGAAGAAGAAATCGACAATGCAGCTTTACTGAAGCTGAATTTGTTATCTTTTGCAATTTAGGTCTTGCATACTCATACAAAAAAGACGAAATCAAATAACAGCCCATTTGTACATCAATTAATTTTGCAGTGTTATGTAACATTCAGCTGAACATTTAATTTTTCATTTGAAATAAACGGTTGATTTTTTTTTTTCAGTCAATGCAATCTAAATCCCAGAGGACTGCGGCCAATATCCTAGCAACATTTTTTATTAGCATCACAGGAAATGTAGGAATTTGTGGATATATCAGAGAAAGACTGTGATCTCAACATATGCATAAATGACAGTGAAAATCATAGAAGATAATGTTATTAATGCAGCTTTAATTAGAGTTAGAGAAATACCTCTATTATTTGAAACTTTTAAAGGCCTGGATTAGCTGGCTGCCTCTGGCTACTAATGAAACTAAAGAAACTACAGATTCTTAAACGCTCAAACTTGTTTACTTCAGACCATGATAATAATCATGTGATACATACACTGTAAAAATGGTATGAGCTATCTACTTAAAAAATTATGGTAACATTTTAAGGCTTAAAAACATTTAAAATATTTTAAGGCTTGATTTTTTTTAATGGAATCTACCTGAATCAATCATGTAAAATCTCCTGAATTATTTAATCTATGACACAATAAATGTAATATTATTAGTTTTGAGTAAGGCCTGTTTGTTTTTGACTGAGTTATTTTGTACAATTAAAAGACTGTATACAGCCAGACAGCTCAAGCAGGAAAAAAACTTGTTACTGCACTAGCATTAACAAAGCTACTGCTCATTGAACAAAGCCTCATAGTAGTAGTACATGCAGTTATCCATAACTATAAGCTCTACTCTTCTGCACAATGGTAAAGAAACTTCAACACAACAAACTCTTTCAAATGTCAAACATAACTGAACACTAAACATTAATAGATGTTTCCCTTTTCTCAAACACACAAAGTAGCACTTAATTTCTATATTTACTCTCCATTTCCAGTCATATGCAAATCATGCTAGGAACTAACAATCACTGCCAAAATAAAACTGTAAAATTGAGCCAATTCTCTTAAAATAAATAGGTAGCCTTCTTTCCTTATTTTTTTTTTTTCAGTTTAATCAGTTCCTCAATTCAAGCCTCAAATCTGCTTAAGTTTCCTTAATAGATGAGGAAAACATTGGTTTTATTAGTGAAAAGTTCTCAATATTTTCTATACAACAATGAACCACAATTTCTTTAATAAAATATACACACTATTTTTAATTATCACCTAAATTTTTGAAATGAAAATTACAAGACCCATGACTTATTTTTTTACAGTGTAGTTTTCTTGTTGAATATCCTGTTCACACTCTGTTTAAAGCTAAGAGTCAAACTCAGTTTGAAATACCTGGGCGATGTTGGCATGAGAGGCCAGGCGGATCATGATATCCAGTTTCTCCAGTTTGACATAGATGGGGTCATTGTACTTGACAAAGAACACTTTGATCTCTTGCTTCAAAATCTCAGGCCTGCAGGTAGAGAGAGAGAGATCACCATTTGAGGCTCAGTCAAAACATTTATAAATGCTAAGCAAACAGACAACCGGACAATATTGCCATCTAGTGACAATACAGAATGTACTCATGTGTAAAAGACACTGAGTGATTAGATTACAAACTAGTGCCACAGAAAACAATAAAAAAAGACTGAAAACTATAAGGAGAGCAGTCTAACCGTTTCTGCACAATAAGGTTGATGTTCCTCAAGGCCACATATTGGACCTCGGGTTCCCCAGACAACAGCGTGACGAGGGGAGGAGAGAGCTTCTTCAGAAGAGTGTTGTAGTAATCAGAGTCTTTGGGCAGGAGCTCCAAAAACTTCATCAGTACCTTCACCGCTGACAGCACCACAGCCGAGTTAGCATGAGAGAGACGTGGGGTCACACGCTCACAGATACTAAAAGAGACAGAAAGAGGGAGATCAGAAAGATGATCTGGTATTTTTTACAGAAAAGGTTTACTATCTTTATTTTCACAAAAAAATAACTTGATATATTTTCTATTATTGAGGCAGTTCCTTCCAAAATCAAGAGATTGATCATGGAAGACAAAACCCCTATGAATCTAAACAACAAATTGTTGTTTGGATTAAAATTATACAACGAATTGTTTGCAGTTTTTCAACCTTGGATTTGGATGATTTTAAAATGTTTCACTAAAGTTGGCATGGAATGGAACAAAACAGAAAATAAAGTGTGGAGTACCTCAAGGTTCTATCCTGGATGCTTTTTTTGCCACTTTCATTTGACCAAAAAAAAAAAACACTATATACTTCATTCATATAGCTAGTTATAGCACATTTGACCATGTGATTTCAGCCGTACTGACAAAATTGACATGTGGGGGTATCACAAAAATATTATTTTCTCTAAGGAGAAAATAACATTACTATTATTTTAATATTTTACTATTATTTAAAGGGTTAGTTCACCCAAAAATGAAAATTAGCTTATAAATTACTCACTCTCAAGGCATCCTATGTGTATATGACTTTCTTCTTTCAGACGAAGTCGGAGTTATATTAAAAATGGTGTTTGATCTTTCAAGCTGTTTAATGCCACTCAGCGGGTGTTGCAGTGCATCAGTCCAAAAGAAGTGAAATAAAAAGTGCCCATCCATAATAAAAAGCGTCTCACACAGCTCCGGGGGGGGGAAACAAAGGCCTCCTGTAGCGAATCGATGCGTTTTTGTAAGAAAAATAACCATATTTAAAACGTAATAATCAATTTAATCTAGCTTGCGCTCACTGTTGTAAACGGAAGCCGTTCCAGGCGGATGACGTATGAGGTCGGCGTTGCGCATGCGCCGGTGAGTCTCGTGAAAACCAACGCTTGTTAACAGGAGCAAAGGAAGCAAAGTTTCCTTACTTTAGCAAAGGAAAACCAGTCTCCTCTTGGCTTATATCGAAATCCTCTGATATTCTTCTTTACAAATCCTCGTTTTGTACTTCTAATTAGTGATTTTGATCTCTCCCCTGCGCTTCTGCGTACGTCACTTCTGAGCGGCGCATTCGCAAAGCTGACCTCATACGTCATCCGCCTGGAACGGCTTCCGTTTACAACAGTGAGCGCAAGCTAGATTAAATTGATTATTACGTTTTGAATATGAATATTTTTCTTACAAAAATAAGAAAAAATGTGTCTATTGACACAAAAGTAACTAACACCATAAAACATCCCATTTTATACAATACAGATTATTCAAAGCAGCTTCAGGGTAATAAACAGGAAACTAGCAGTGTTAATGTTGCACATTTC